ACCCCCCTTTTCCCAACGAAGAAGACAGAAATATCATGGAAAATACAGGTGACACCTACGGAGGACACGGTGCCGCTGCGAGGGGGCCATTACATTCGTGTCTCAGCCCCTCGGGGACCTGGTGTGACAGTGGCCACCATCCTCTGCCTCGCTGCGGGGACATCTGAGCCCCCCACACCAGCCATTTGGGGCTGTGGGACACAGCTTGAGGGGAGAAGAAGCCCCCCGAAGGTAGTCCCCCAAATCCTGCCCCTGGGGGACGGCGGAGGGGACGGCTCACCCGGCATCGCTCCATCCCAAACTGGCTCCTCTTCCCCTCACCACCCACCTGTACATGGGGAAAAGGGGGCAAGGGGGGGGCACGGCGGGTCCATATTGCTCTGGGAAGCCCCCAGCATCCCCCCCTGGCTCAAAACACCCCCCCTGCATCCCACCCCCAGCACCCAGCTGGGTAGCGGGCAGCCTCCATCCATCCATCCATCCATCCATCCCACCAAGACAACCCTGGTGGCTGGAGAATTGTTGTAGAGGTATTGACGTGCCTACAGAGAAGGTGCCAGGTTTGGGGGGGGGTCAGGGGGAGCCCACCACGGCCACCCAGGCGGCTCCACAGAGAAGGGGGGGGTCCATAAGCCATAGGAGGGTTTCATCAACCCTAAGGATTTCTGAAGGACGGGTGGCCAACAGCACCCAGAGAGGTAGCGGCGTGGGGAGCCCGTCCCCACAGCATGTCCCCCCCCTCCTCTCCATCCTGTGCCACCCCCGCTGGGTTATTACCAACCTTCCCGCTGAAAATAGCACCCTTGGAGCTGAAATTTGTCTTATTTCTCTGGAAAACAAAAAAAAAGCAACCAACCAACCAACCAAGACACAGCCCTCGGTGGAACCACCACCAAGCTGGCAGCAAACGGGGCACCCGGGCTCCCCCAGCACCGTTCCCCGGGGCTTTTTTCCCTTTTCCATGTGTTTTTTTCCCCCCCCATATTGAAACAGCAACGCGACAGCAAACAGAGCCGGCGGCGGGACGGCACCAGAGCCAGGGGACCCCCCCTTGGAGCCCCCACAAAGCCCCCCCAGCCCTCCCTCTCTCCCTCGCCACCGTATTGCTCAAACAGCACTAGGCATGGATACAAAAATAAAACAGCTATGTGACTTAGATATATATAATTAATATTTTTTTTGTAATATATATATATATTTGTATATATATTTTTTGTCTATTTATAGGTGGATGGAGAAGCAGCGAAGCCGAAGCGCGATATAATGTAAAAAATACTCGCTCTGCTCCCACTGTTCAGGCTCTCCCCACCTCTGACAGCCTCTCTCATGCTGCACAGAAGTTGCTGAC